ATATTTTTGAAAATAAGCATCATATGTTATATATGAATTTATTAGTAAATATGTGACTAATAATATAAATAAATTATTATAAAAGAAGCGTATTATAGTGTACTTATTTTTAGAATTATATGGTAATATCATATAACATTTTATCAACATAATTATTAAAGTAAATATATATTAAAATCAATAATATTAAAATAATAATAAATAAATAATAAAAAAATTAATTATATACCATAAATGATTCAGATAATCTTTTTTATATTTACCTCTTTATTTCTATAAATATAATCTTAGAATTAATAAACTATTTTATTATTATTACGAAAAATTCTAAATTATGTAAATGGCTAAATTCTTATAATTAAAGATAATGCTACTACTATTTCAGATAGTGATAGTTGTAATATTTGATACTGTTGACAGTATAGTTAATACTATTGTTAATACTACTTTTGATAATGATACTGGTATTATTTCTACTTGAAGAAAACTATAATGTATACATAGCATAAACAACACTAAATAATTATCTCTTATCTAAATAAGCTAATTCAATTACTGCAAAGGCTCATAATCATCCAGCATAGGTTGCTGTAGCTGGAGTTTCACGTATAGATACTAAAGAACATCTTGATGTTTACTATTGTCTTGTATCTGTTAAATATGCAAAGTAATTTGCCTCTATGTTTGCTGATATATCTATTATTATTTCCTAAGATGATAAAGCAAAAATAGGTCTTGGAGTGCCTGCAGTAGGTTGAACATTTCACACCTTACAGTCAATAAATGAGCTTATATTTGTAGCTGATCATGATTTTCCTACAGGAAGTAGGTAAAAACTAATTCCTTTAATATACCTAATGATAAAACCAGATCATGAGTCAAAAGATGAACTTCGAACAGAACAGCTTGCAATTTTTATACATCCCAATGGTCTATTAGTACATCCTCACTTACACATGTGCAAAATCTGAAAAGCCTCATTTTAGATTTCAAATATGATAACGTGTTTAAAACTAATAGACAAATTCAACCTATTTGAATGTTACTAGTAGATGGAGGACCAGATGAAAATCTTAGATATTTAAAAAATATAAAAGTATATTGTCAGCTTTTTAAAAAATTTGATTTAGATTGCTTAAGTATACGAACACATGCTCTAGAGCAATCAAAATATAATCTTGTTGAAAGAGGCATAGCAACATTATTTGGAAAACTTGCTAGAATTACATTACTAATTGATTATTTTGGTAAACATCTGAATTCGTAAGATACTATTATAGATTCTGAGTTAGCTGCTCAGAATTTTCAATATGATGGAGAGGCTCTTTGCGAAATTTAGAGCTGTGATTTAATTTTTAGAAAACACGTTAATGTTCAATATATTAATATGCTTAAGAATTCTTTTGAAGATTTGCAGTTTGAGAGTACAGAAAAAGAGAAAGCTGAAGAATTAGAATGACTAGAAAAGCAAAAAAATGCACAAAATAAAGATGAAGATGATGCAGATAAATGCTTGCCTTTTCTGAATACTTTGTTCTATGGTCTTGGATTGAAAAATACTGCAATTTGTGCATATATTCAATTGATATTAAAAGATATAAGAATGCAAGTTGTTGTGGACCACCTAAAGCTAAAGATATCATAGAATTTCTTGAAATCTATAATGGTTTTTTGCCACCTGTTACCAAAGCTAAGGACAGACACTTTACAAATCCTATCTATCTACTTCAGTATTGTGATCTTTTAAAAATTCCAGACTACAATGCTCATTGCCTAATCTTTAAAGAAAAGTATTCCTGTCTTTGCTATTCTACTTGTCAAAAGTATTTTCCTACTTTTACCTTTTTAACAAAATACAGAAGAACAATACATCTTATAGCTCAGAGGTGGTCAAAAGAATAATCTAATAAACGAAATAGGTGAAATGTAACAGCGTTTGATGATTTTTCTCTTCTGGAACTACAGTCATCAAAACGCTTTATTCCATATGTTGAAATTTCATTAAGAAGTTATGTGTCAAATGGAAAGTAACTGAGTAGAATGTATTAAATTTAAATAGATTTATATTATCTTCAAATAAAGTTGTGATATTGTTATAAAAATTTTATTTTTTTCTTATTTCATAATAATTTCATAAAAACTAAGCCACTATGTGTCATATGATAGATATAATATAAGATTTTATTAAGACTAGTCTGCTACCCCCACCCCCTAAAATATTACATAATAAATGTCACAGCCCTAATTATTTTACCAACAATCATTTAACTGACAATTATTTAACCGACAGGTACATTTTACTAACACTTAAATTACTAACAATCATTTTACTAATATAGTTATTTCAATGATATAGTTATTTCACTGAAAATTTTATATTTTTTATTTAGTAGTTTGTAAAAGAAAATTTTATATTTTGCAATAAACAAATATCATTCTTCTAATAAATTTAAAATGAAAGATTATGAGCAATTCTTCTAAGGTAATCTATAAGTTCTCTATTTTTGTGATTATTATATACTATTTGTATATGATCTTCATATTCACAATCTTATTTTCTTTGTAACGATCGTGGTATCTCTTGTAAAATAGATTCTATATGAAGCTGTACTTGTTTTTACTTATTTTGTAATTCTTTTATAATTTTAAATATACTTACATGAGCGTGATCTACTAATGTTTTCCATCTTCTATACCAAGCCTTCATATTATTTTAAGTTCTTGGAAATGAATATTCAATATTGTCAGTGACAAACCAAAATAAAGATAGAAATAATAGTTCAGACTGAATTACATTTTCATTTCGTAATGTGCATCTAATTTTTTTATGAATATAATAATTGTCAAATCAATCTAAAATTTAGCTTGTTTCTGCTAGTATATTAGTTTTTAATTTATTAAAAGCTGTAGGAATTTCATTATAAGGTAAAAATGCAAGTGCTAAAATATAACGAATTAATAAACTAAAGTTTTCATCAATTCCATACTGAATAGTTTGACCAAAAGTCTATACTTTATAATATATATTTTGAGATAAATGAAAATGATAATCTTTATTTTGCACTCCTTAAAATTTTGCATGGATAACATTAATTGCAGCTTGTTCAAAATCTGTTAAAATAAACTGTGGTTGTAAATCAACATTATGCTTATCACTAAAATTAATTAAATCTTAAAATAATATTCTATAGCATAATTTAGATTTGTGAAACATTAATGCAAATACCAGTGGTATAATCTATGAATTTTCATATTCATCAACATGTTCATGAATTGTATATAGTTGTTTAAAAATTGTTAGAACTGTCTTAAAAGTACCATCTATAATTCAGAATGGTAATTGTACTAAATGTATTATATTAGTAACAGTTATAAACATTAATACTCTTCTATCACCTATGGTTGAATCTCTAACTAAAAACTCCAATCTATTTAAAATTATTCGCATATTTTCAAGAATAGTAAGAATTTTCAAAAATATTGGCTTTGCAAGAATATTAACATGTCAAACTTATTTAACTATTTGACGAAATGCATCATGTGATAGTAAGTATGGATATATTTTATATGAACTACTTGCAATAATAATTTAAATAACTTGTGCAGATTGTTCATTAATTTGTTGTGACCTTTCTTTTAATATATTAATAGTTTTTATTACATTAATACAATTGGCATCAGCAGCATAGTTATGATCTGAAGTTTTTTGAAGATAATGCTGATTTTTAATCAATTTAATAATAGCTCTTCCATAACATTTTAATAAGTTTCATTTTTTACAATATCAATAATATAAATTTTCTCTATTTTTATTTTTAACCATAAGATAGCCATGAATATTAAGTTTAACTTTATTATGAGTAGAAAAAACAGCTTTGCAAATAATATTATTTATTAAAAACTTTGAAAAAAAAGATAAGAAAAAAAATTGTTATTGATTGTATATGTAATAATACATAAAATAATTTTAACTTTAATTAGAATGTAATATTTCAAATACATTAAAAAAAACTTTTCTATATTAAGTAATATTTTGCATTGTATTTTATAATAAATAGTATTTAATATTGTAATTAATATTTGATTATTAAATAGTGTATATGAATTTGAATTTTTTTAATTGGCAATTGTCATATGAATTTCCTATAAAAAAAAATAATAAGTCAATAATTTGATTATCAGTAAAATGTACTTATTGGTAAAATAATCATCAGTAATTTAAATGTCAGTAAAATGTATCTGTCGGCCAAATGATTGTCAGTTAAATGATTATCGATAAAATGATTGTCAGTAAGTTGAATGCGACCCTTTAATATGCAGTATGATAATTATATATCAAGTTAGATACCAGAATATTAGATAATAGGAAAGAAGTCTAGACTGATTTAATTATTTAAAATTATTATTTATTATTTATAATAAGAATTAAGTCAGGGAAGATTAGAATAACTTTTTTGAATTTTGTTTCAGAATCCTTATTTTTGTTCTACTAAAAAAGAATAAAAAACTTATTATTATTTACATCTATTTTTATAAGTTTTTCTTTTGATATTTTACCACTTAAATACATTTACTTACATTTTAAATATAAAAATATTTTGTAATAAAAAATTTTATAAAAATTTATCAATAAATAAGAATGATAAAGTTTTGATATGTGGTTATGCATATTATGAAAATTGATTTTGGGTATTAGATTTAAAATGTGAATATTGTTACAAATATTTAGATAAATCTATTGATAAATTGATAAAATCATATAATTAAAGATTGTATTTAAAAAAAAGCTTAATTAAATGTATCTAATTTATCATAATAAAAAATAAAAGTTGTTTATTGGTTAATAAATGTTGAACATACACATCCTATCTACCAATTAATTTGGCACAGAAAAAAATGAGCCAATTAAAACTTGACATGTAACATGTAATTTTTTTTATTTTATGAAAGCTTTTTCTCTACCAGGTTCACGTAGAAACAAATTATAACCATAAACAATAATGATTACAGATACGACACTTACAGTCTTGTGCAATTCATTAGGAGGAGTTGTAATGGCATTAATTTTCGCTTACCACTTTGTGGTAATAAATTCTAAAGATAATTCCAACAATTCTAAATCTAAAGACAAAAATGTTTCAGAGCCTATCAAAGAAAATAAAACTCCCGAAACTTCCAAGGAAAAGAAACTTTCAGAACCTTCCAAAGAAAAGAAACGGTCTGAACCTTCCAAAGAAAAGAAACGTTCTTGAACGAAATATAAATTTTACCATATAAAATTTTTTTTTGGAAAGTGTTTCTACATAGTTTTTTTTTTTTTTGATTCATTTTTGGATATAAAAAATTAATTTTATTTTGTCGTATAAAGGTAAGCTTGTTTTTTCTCTTAAAAGTTTAAATATTGGCGTTAATTAATTTTTATAATCATAACTTTATTAGATGATGATTAATTTTAATATATATTAGTTACAAAATTTTATTGTATAATCTATATCGAAACTTTGTTAAATAAAATATCATTATTATTTATTATATTTTTCCGCCAAAGCATCGAAGAGATCAATTTTATTATCTCTATGAATAGTGACAATGTCAGCTTGAGCATTTGGGAGAACAGTTAATTCTGAAATCACAACATTCGTAGGACGATTTGCACCAAACACAACACACTCAGCTGAAAAGAAAAATTAGAAATGTGAATCACAAAAAAATAAGCTTTAATGAATAATGAATTATCTTAATTACCTATGTCTTTTGCATTAAGTGGGTCATAACCGGAATAATAGATTTCGGAGAATCCAGGACTTCCTCGGCTTCTGTTTAAAGTGAATTCTGTTTCTACAGATCCTATATTATTATAAGAAAGGGATATACCTAATTAGGGAAGATGTATGAGTTAATTGATTTATTTTGAGCATGATAAATTACCTGGTCTTATTATAAGAACCCTGATTTTTGTTTTAACGAGCTCTTTCCTCAATGATCTGTTTCAAGATGAATTACAAATCTAATGAGTACAGATTTGATTTTTCTTAAAAGATTTGTTCATTATATAATCTAACTTACTCGGTAATTCCTTCAATAGCATGTTTCGAAGCAGCATAAATAGAATTACCGAATCCATGACTTTGTTGACCAGAAATACTTCCCATCATAATAATGTCACCACTATTACGTTCTTTCATTCCAGGGAGAACAGCTTGTATAGCATATATTATTCCATATACGTTTGTTTCTAAAACTGTCTGAATTTCTTCTTGTGGTTTTTTTTCTAAAGGTTCAAATCCAATTGCCAACCCGGCCTTTACAAATGTATATTTTGGTCAGACTAGTAAAGGAAATGAAAAAAGAAAATACCAATATATTTACATTGTTGAATAATACATCAATATCTTTGAATCCTTGCGGTAGATTTTCGATTGCATCATCGATTGCTTGTTTATTTCGTACGTCAACTCCATCAATGTGAATTTGTGTGCCTGAGTACTGGTTTAAAATTTGTGATTTTAATTCTTGTAACCTCTCAAAGCGTCTTGCGAATAAAATGTGATAAACTCGAGAAAGTTAAAGAAGTTTTTTTTTTTATTTTAATTAATTTATACGAACAAAAAAAGGATATGAGTTTAGAATTATATTTGGCAAATTCTAATGCGGTGGCTGCCCCAATGCCTGATGATGCACCTGTGCTATAACAAATTTTTTTTTTTTAAATAAAGATAAATAAATAAAATAAAATAAAATATTAACAACATATTTACATCAATACCACACGACCCGATAACTCTGTATTCATTTTTATCGAATGTTAATTTTTTAATTTATATCATTTACGGACTAAGGTACAAAGAGGGAATTTAAAAAATTTTTGATCATTTGTTAAACAAGATATTATATAACCTTAAATAACACAAAATTTGACAGGAGAATTTAATGATGACCACTAAAATCTAATGAAGATCATGCATTTCATTTTTATGCACCTTTCCCTAATACGCCTATATACCAAATTTGGTGATTTGTTTTATGAAGGGTTAAACCTTTTTTTGAAAATTAAAAAAAAAACTTTTTTAATTATTTTCCTCTTCCTAGAAAGCTAGGAGAACTGCTGCTTGTGATATCATAAATGACGTATCGTGCACACTTTTAAACGCTGCGGAGTATAGTCACGTGTAAATGATGCAATTATGAAAAACATATTATCCTTTTTTGGATCTGGATCTGCAGGAGTTGGTTTTTTTTTTACCCACAAAGAATTTCGGTTGGCTGGTTATAAAAGGTAGGTTGTTTTGATACCGACTTTGTTTTCTTCAGTTTCGTAACATAATTAATTGTTTAGAACTCAAATCTTTGAACCTTTTTTTTTTTTTATACTTTTTTGCAAATCTATTAAATTTAAGAGCCCTTCCCCTACAAAATATAAAAAAAAAACAAACATGAGTACAGAAGAAGAAAGTAAAGCCTCCATTGCTTTTGAAATAGAATTTAAAAAAAATCCTAATGCTCCTTTTCCAGAACACTATAAAAAACGGCTTGAAGAAGAAAGTCAAAGAAGTTTAAATGATGAAGAACTTCGAGCGAAGCTTAAGGCTAAACTTGAAGCGGCAGAGGAAAGGAAAAAAAAAGCAGAAGAAGAAAAAGCAGCTAAAGCAGCTCAAGAAGTAGCTCACGCTAAAAAGGTAGCCGAAGAACATAGAAGACTTTCCGATACGCAAAAATCAGAAAGTTTGGCTAAATTACGAGAAAATTTGGTTAACGCTGAAGCGAGAAGAGAAGAAGTTCAAAAAGAGAAACTTGGAAAGATTGCTAAACATCACGAAGAAGTTGATAATATCTCGAAAAAATGAATGTAAGTGTTGAGAAATATTTTTTTTTAACCCTTTTCTAAGCTGAACGAGATTTTTTATTTTATTTTTTTTTCTTTTCCAACATCCTTGCAGTTACGAATTTTTTGCGTTCTCTTTCATATATTTCTCTGTAATTATTATCCAATGAAAGTTTACGCGACCAGCACGTTTTTACCTTTTTAATAAACATCATTTCATCAAGTAATTTTAACGCGTCATTAAAATCATTTAACCTATTTTAATCCCCGATTTTTGTAAATGCACATCGATATTAAAATAAATAGTTTTAAATTTAACATTCGTTGAATACTTAATAAAAATTTTAAGGTTTTTTGTGAAACATCAATGATTTCGTTAGTCGACGAGAATATGTGATGTATGTAATTAAATGTGGCTTCCAACCATAAATTTCTACGCAACTTTCCGCTATTTTACCGGTGTGCGACGCTCAGGGTAAACAAACATTTATGAGAAAATTTGATATTAAGATAATTATTAATTAATGAAAAATTAAAACATTTAAGGTGATTGGCAATCATTAAAAATTTTTTAATACGCACAGCATTTTTTTTTTGTCTCTCGGATAAGCACATAATTTTGTGTGAAAATCATTTAATAAGAGTTTTCTTCAACTTTAAAACCTACAAGACTACAATTGATGATTATTCCTTTTAAATCTATATTTATTATCCAAATACAAAGCAATTAATCGCTTGTTCATATATAAATATGGTGCACTAAATCAATGAACGACGTTTATAGGAGATTTCTCGAAACAAAAAACTAATCTCCTTAGGCGTACAATTCGCGGTTTGGGTATATATTTGAAGATCATTGAACAATCGATGCATTGCTCTATATTACACTACGTCCCCAAGATATTACCACAAGGAAATTTAATTAACTAACTTTCCTAATTAGTTTTGCTCGGATTATATCTTTCAAGAATGCAAAAATGCGTTGACCCGAATTCAAATTACACGATATTTTTTTGTGCAAATTAAATAAATATGAGTCCATCCCACATCCTTTTCAAAAATTCCCTTTGCGACAAAAATCCTTTTTGCCTAGAGCGAGAGGTAATTTTTTAATACCTCACCTTCATTTTCTCCCTTTCTTCCCCTCCATATCCGTTTTCGCCTCTCCCCCTCCCTCTCCCCCTTCAAACTTTCCTTTAACTCTCTACTTTAATAGTTCGACACTCTTTAATTTTGTGTATTAGAATATAAATATATTAATATCCTCTTAATAACCTAGAAAATTTCTTCCTCCTTTTACCGTTTATTTTCCCATAAACCCCTTATTTTAATTTCTTTAATATATATATATATAAACATGAAGTCATTCAAGGTAAATGTAAAAAACAATCAAAATTGTTAATTGTAATCGTTAATTGAAACGATTCTAATTCTTTAAAAAAATTTTTTTTTGTTTAGAAAATATTGTTTTTCGTATTCTTAATTCATTTGACATTAGATGTTGAAGCCTTTTGTAAAAATTACGGAAAGATTTGCCCCGAAGAAGCTCCATGTTGTAACAAAGGCTGGTGTTCTAACGACCCAAAATTTTGTTCAAATGGTGAGTTTTCTTTTATAAAAAGTGATTTCCTCTCGTAATTCGGTGACAAAAAACGGTAGGGTTTGAGATAATTGCCGGGAAATTCAGATAACCCGGCAAACGACAACGATCCCGACCTTTACCAAATTAATCGAACAATAGTCACATGACACGCGTTACATTTTTATTTACCAAATTTTTGAATTTTACTCATTAGGATGCGAACCTCAAAATTCTTTCAATGAAAAATCGTGTTACCCGAGACCACCATGTAGAAATTTTGAAGATGATTTCTCAAAGAATAGATTAGTGAATGCTAATGATTTCGATGGGAACCCTAAATCAGCAGATTGGACATCGGACTTTTCACCAGATTATGCTCGTTATGAAAATGGTAATTTAGCATTAGATTTAAAATTGGATAAAACAAAGAAAAATGATCAAGGAAATTATCAAGGTTTTGGTGCCACGGTTAGTACCACGTTCTTTATGCTATACGGTACCGTTACGGCTCGTATCAAGACCGCGTCAACTTCCAAGGGCGTAGTTACATCAATGGTGGTATCAAATAACACGATCAATTCTATTGGAGATGAAATTGATTTTGAATGGGTCGGACTTGACCGAACTGAAGTTCAATCTAATTTTTATTGGAATGGTACATTGGATTATACAAAAGGTGCTCATCATCAAGTTGGCGTTGATACAACAACCGAATATCATAATTACACCATCGAATGGTTGCCCGAGACACTTACTTGGATGATCGATGGTAAACGTATTAGAACCGTTACAAAAGAATCAACTTGGGATGCGGCCGCTAAAGTATATAAATATCCGTCCGTTGATTCAAGAGTTTCTTTCTCAATTTGGGATGGTGGTATGGGTCAACCAGGAACCGTCGAATGGGCAGGTGGGCCAACTGATTGGTCAGTTGAAAATAAAGTTTACACCATGTATGTGGACTCGATTAGCGTAACATGTAAAACACCAGGTCCAGATAATTATGTTTGGCCACCCGAAGGTTATGGACCATCAAAAACTCAAAACTTAGAAGGTACCAAGCCAGCCTTTACAACTTTGGGAGAAGGCCAGCCTTTAAAAACAGGAAATGCTGATGATCCCGCAATCATTGGTGGATCTTCTGCAACTGATTATAATGGAAGCCAATTAAAGAAATTTGCTGTACCAATTGGTATCATATCTGGTTTAGTACTTGGTTCCGCTGCTGTATTTCTTAGTTGGAGAATGTGCTTTAAGCCATCAAAAAATGTTACTCCACACGGAAAAGCATAAAAAAAATTTTGATAATTAATTTATGTTTTTATAATATATATTTATTTTACCTGTATACTATCTTTTAAATAATATTAACTTTGTACTTTCTAAAAAAAAAAATGGAAAAAAATGAAAAGAAAAAAAAAAAAAAACTCCAGGTTCTTTGGGAGGGTTTTTTTTCTTTGAAATAAAACAAAATTTCATCCATTCAGACCTTTCACAAATAAAAGGATGGGATAATTATTAATTGAAAAAAAAGTTCATGGTATTTGATTTTTTCATGGAATTAATTGGACGACAGGGCATATGTTATAAATACATACAGTATATAATGACTTATTTCTCAATCTCTAAAAAATCTATAAAATTCTGGACAAAACAGAATGAATGAATGATTTCACATGATTTGCCAATCATCATTTTGTTTTTGGAATTACATTTTTCCTTGAATTTATCCAAAACTAGTAAACCTCGTTGAAATTCTTTACCCCCTAAAATTTATAGTCGTTTTTCAGAAGGAAAATTTGATAATTAAATTTGATGTTTTATAAACAGAACAGCAAACTGAACAGCATCGTATCATAATCGATAATCGTACAGTATTTAATAAAAAATTAACAGGATATTTCCTTATATAAGCAAAGCGAAATTATCTTACTATGAAATTATATCTTGTTCTTCTTGTTCTATAAAATGATGTTTCCTTTACGTGACGCGTTTTTTTTTGTTTTTTTTTGTTTTTGAAATGTCCAATAAAAAAGTTCCGAATCTTGAAATCATTATCAAAATTAAGATTCTGGGGAACAACATGGCATGGTATGACAGCCGATCAAGCAACATCTTACCGTTAATATATATTACATAAATATTTGTTCTACATTATAAAAGCTACATTCGTATATATAATTTTTTTTTTCTTTGCCTCTTTTTATTTTTTTTTCGCATTCCTCATTAAGAAACCCCTTCCACAATAAAATAAATATAATCTTTATAATCATTATTTATTCATTTATTCATTTATTTATCTTTTTTTAATCATGAAACTTTAATTTTTCTTTTTTAAATAAATTTTTTATTACACTTTATTACACTTTATTTATTTTTGCATCATTTT